CAAACCTCCTGAATCCAGTGTGCTCAACCATAGCTAAAGGGTAACCGTGTAATATGATCATGCGGGCAAGATCTAGCCGACTTTGTCTGTTATCGAAATTAAAACTTCCGACATTGCCCCCTTCCTTGCCATGATCTAGACTATTAGTTCTCACAATGGTAACTGACTTGTCATTTCTGTGATCAAAAGTGAAATCTGCAATAGTGAGAGTGGTTTCCTTTCTTTTGCCCCTTGTGATATACTGACTTATGTCTTGGTTAGATCCTCTTCTACATCTGATCAAGTGATTCCTCAGATGTGAAGTTCCACTAGTGCTTGACCCGCTAAGTTTCCTATTACAGTGCCTACAGATAGCTATAAAAGTGTCACCTTTCCTGACCCTATCAAAATCATTCCACACAACAGATTTCAGTCTACTGGAATTGACTATGACCGAGTCAGCTGCTATCTCCATTGCTTTCCTGATATTCTAGAATCCCCTGAGAAGATCAGCAAGTTAACATTCTTTTAGTTATAAACAAGCAATTATACAATTTAAACAGAGAAAAATGAGAAGATGGCTATACACAGAAAGAGCATTGAAGACATGTGTGAATAAGTGTGATAGCATCAGAACTGCTAACTAATTTAAACCTTTCCGCATATATGATACAGAGTACAAAATACAAAGTTGTAGTAAGTTTTTTTATCATCAAAATGGTTGCAAGTTGATGGAATACAATGGAAAAGACTACTCAACTTGATCTCATCTCACAAAAAGAATACTCAGAAATCATAACCTCATACAATAAAAGATGAGAAGAGATTGTAACACTTAAAGCTTACGCGGTATCCCAACATTGACAAAAAATTTCACATCTCACTAGTGACTTAATTTACTCAGGATAGTAAGGGTTCTTTTCCGGTTCGGGGATTGCTTTTAACATCAACTGAATCTCTGGATCCCTAACTCAACTTTAAATGCCAAAATAAGGCCCCCAACAAAGTTATTTAACACTAAACGTCTACTACTATTAGAGTCCCATACCAAAATGTGAAATACAACGGGAGTAGAAAATAACTTTTTAGATGAAAAAAAACAAGAAAAGCAAAGCAGAAAGAGAGAGCAAGGGAGAGAGAGACTTAAAAGTTAAAACATTTAAAATGAAGGGAGACTAAATATAAATATATAATACATAGTATAAATATATATTACGTTTAGTATTCATTTAGTTTGACTTTTTTGAATGAAAACAAAACAAACTTTGGCTATCAATAAAATATTCTAAAAATTACATTGCATATTATCAAAATGAAATAATTTTTTTGAAATTTTGTTGTAAGATTGATCTAATGAAATTGTTTTTTCATTAATATCTAAGGCTAGTTTTATTCAAGTAATAATGAAAGTTTGCCCACTAGAAAAAGTCAAACCAAACACATACTTTGGGGTAACCGTAGTAATATTTTCCCACGGCTGGTTAATAGTATTTCAGGCTTCCAAACAAGCATAAATGCAACCCCAAATCTGTAGTTTTGTTAATCTAATGTCATTTTCTATTTACAAAAAAAAATTGGCAAATTGAGACAAAAAAAAGTCTTCCTGGATGGAAATGAGAGATAAACTATGAACTGGAAAGCACAAAGTGCAATTCTGGAATTACAAAAAGAGCTGGCGCACAAAAGCTCCATATAATAACTGAATTTTACGCACCAAAACTCAAGAAAAGGGCACACATGAGCAAATTTACCAAGTTGGATGGTGGATTCAACGAAGAAGAAGAACCAACGGGAAGAGCCCGAACCAGTCCAAATGTTATTGGCCCAATGCCCCAACACAGAACCCTAGGACTGAAGCCATACGTAATTAATGGTTTACAGAACCGAACTCTTATCAAAACCCGACGGCGGATTTCGGATCGGGAGCTCGCACGGCGGTAACGTATCCGAACATAATAACCCTAGATGGTAAAATAATTGCATAAATACACAATCAATTGCAACACAGAGTACAAATATACGCACGGGAAAGACGGAGAAAGCGCCGGAAAATCCTCAAATGGCCTGGTTAGGATTGGATTCCACAGCGGTTCCGGCATGTGTGCTGAACAAAACGAGAGAGAGACGGTTTGGTTATGAGCAGAAATGGATAGGTGTTAGAAAAAGAAATGTAACGGGCACCCGATTTGATTCTTTTAACAACTTTTAACCCCACATTATTTTAAAAAAAATATTTTACTCCCTAGTTTACTCTAGATTTATATAGACTTTGTTTGAGAACATCGTTTTCGATTAGCGTTAGCGTTTTGGAAAAAGTTTTAATGATGTAGATTAATTCCGAAAACGCTAACTCTAAAGGCTACCGTCAGATAGTCTTTTCAAAACGCTAACGCTAATAGCTAACGCTGATACCAAACGGGCCAAACTAGTGAAAGACCTTAAAATTTGTTACTCTATAATGTACACTAAAGATAGATTCTGTCTATTTATTATTTTATTAAATTTTAATTTAAGTCAATTAGTTTGTAAAGAAATTTTCAATCCTAATACCTAAATAGATACTGGTACGATGTACCCTCGAGGTATTATATCACAAATTTTAAAAATCACATATGATATTTAGATTACGTAAGACTTGACAATTCTTACCAAAAAATTAAAAGATACCCGAAAGCATATTTGAGATAGTGTGAGACATGTGAGTTCTTACCGTAAAATTGAGGGTACCCCAGAATAATTTTCTAATGTTAGGAGAATGTGGAACTTAACAGATTTTTACTATGTTACTACATCCGTTCAGAGTAATTCTTCAGCTTTAACTTTTTTCAATCAACTATTTCAAACATTTGACATATAATTAAATTATATATATATATCACTAGTACACAAAAGGGCAAAGGCACCGGTTGTTTTATACTTTTAGCATCGGTTTTGTACCGATGTAAATACATGTGGCTTCTTTTGCCACATGTAATTTCTAGATATATTTGCGGCGTTTTTTGCTCCTGTTTTCACATTGTAATTCTTCTTAAATCACGCGATGACCAGATTGAGGCACTTAAAGATGTTGGAGTGACTGAAGTGGTTCTTGCTATTAACTACCGGCCTGAGGTTGATTACATATATCTCTGATCTTTATTCGGCGTGTTCTGCTTATTCGCAAGCAGAATAAGTAGCTTTTGACATGCCTATTTGGCTTAAATGTTACCACCAATGCCTTCCTTCAGAAAACTCGACGGATTTAACCATTTTAGCCAAATGCCCTTACACCAATTGGGCCCTTAATGTGTGACTGGAATGTTCAATAAGAAGTGCATCTTATATGCATGCAGGTGATGCTGAATTTTGTGAAAGATTTTGAATCAAAGCTTGGGATCAAGATTACTTTCTCTATGTTTTACTTCTCTTTATGGTGATTTCTTTATTTATCTTTTAAATAAATTTAATTGAAAATAACCTAATGAAACAGTGTAAACTACAAAGGATAATTTACTTTGAAACAAAGGGAGTGCTTTTTAGATATCTAATTTGGGATGAAGTACATTACTCCCTCAGTCTCAAAAAACCTTTCTAGTTTGAAAAAGACGTGCTTTAAAAAAGTACAATTTCAGTATTATTTTCTAATTATAACTCATTTATTCTATATAGTACTGATACAATTAGATAATAATTGGTCTTATTGAATGTTGAAAGATGCATTCATATATATATATATATATATATATATATATATATATAGATTACATGAGAGAAATCAATCCAAGTAGGAGAAGAATTATAGTAATAATATAATAAGAAAACAAAGGATTAAGGAAAGTAATTAATACGGAGTAATAAATGTTCTGTTTTCTATTATCCTCCCGCAAGCTAATTGTCGGTAACGAGGAGCAGCTTGGAGCACAGGTACTGGAATTGAGCTGGCAGAAAAATTTTTGTGAGGATAGCCTCTAGTGATCTTTGTTGTATGACGAACGAGCTTGATATTACGTTTGCTGAGTTTGTTCTAGTGAGAGTGTTAGCGATTGGAGCGAGGGCGAGAAGTTTCTTCTTTTTTTCTCCTTTTGGGTCATTATCTGTTTCTCTACCGCTTTCCATGCTCTCGAACTCTAGACGAAAACATAAACAAATGCATCTTTCTCGTTTTTAATCACGCACATGATATTTTTGGAAGAGAGAGATAATGATTTTTTTTAGAGAAAGAGAGGGATAATGAACGGTGGTGGTTAGACACACTCGTCAACATTGGTCGACGACGCCATGCTGTCGGACGATCGATCATCGTAAACAGACACCGCGATGTGCTCGGTCTTAAAGAGGAGTCTAGGTTTTAGAGAACCTTAGCTCCGATACCATGATACAATTTGATAATAGTTGGTTTTATTGAATATTGAAGGATACATCTCTATATATATGGATTACATGAGAAAATTTCAATACAAGTAGAAGAAGAATTATAGTAACAATATAATAAGGGAATAAGGAAAGTAATTAATAATAAATATTATGTTTCCTATGAAATAAGGAGTACATCATATCTTACCCTATTAAAATAAAGGAAAACTAGAAGACAATACCAAAATTACATATTTTAAGGCGTGCTTTTTTTCAAACAGAAAAGATTTTTTTGAGACGGAGGTAATACTAATACTTTGTACTTATATATTAGTACAAAACAAGAATACTATAGTGAGTGCCCGTTTGGCAACAACTCCACTGTTTAACTTTAACATTTTAATAAAAATTATCTATTGGTAGCACTTAGTTTTAAACTTTTCTATTGAAATTTATCTACACCAATAAAAAATCTAAAACGGTAACGTTAATTAAAGATAGTCTTTCCAAGCAAGGATTGTGTTTTTCTTTATTAAAAAAAAATAGTGATGTGAGGTCCAAGTATCTTGTTGCCATAGCTTGCCGCCCAGTTTACTTGGAGATGGAGAAAAGAAGGCTTCGACAGATTAATTTTTAAAGATGTTCTCTCACTTTTTTTTATATAAATACATCTAATCTAACAGGGGGATTGGGAACTCGTGCAGCTTTTCCAGTTTTCATTGGAATAATCTTTCAAATAAGAGTAATAATTTTATCATGGGTGCTTTAGCTGCTGTTTTTAGACATCTGAATTCATTAGTGGGGTATTTTTTTTATTTTTCCCCTCCAATAATTAATTATTGTTATTTAAATTTAACAAAAAAAAACTTCATGCCTTTGAGTAATTATTAACTCAAGATTTTTTTTTTGTTTGAAAAACCAGCCCAGGAGTGATGCTTCTGTTTCCTCTGTGAGTATAACCATTCTTCTCGCTCTTATTCATTTATCTAATTATATGGCGTATATATTATGTTCCGATATACCAATAACTTCAGCATTCAACTTTAGCGTTTTTGAATAACTATCTAACAGGAACATTCAGTCTTATAACAGTTTCAAAATTAGTTTACACCATTAAAAAATAATTTGAAACACGAATGCTAATTGAAAACGCTCTTAAGCCTATACAATCAAATCAAAACTCGATAAAATATGCAGTTC